ACAAGGTCAGTGCCCTTCGACATCGTGAATTTCAGCCAGCAAATGCATCCTCAACTAAATGGGTGAGTTTCTTACTGATAATATTTTTCATATCTCTCTAATAAACAAATCCTTTACGTCCCTTATTTATTATTAAATCAGCTTTGCAAATCATTCGTTAATCTTCACTGTACACCTCGCGTAAAAATTTCATATGGTACACACGTGGTGTCATACACCCCAGAAAATTAAAACGACTGTCACGGTTAAACTTCATATTATTTCGGGTCCGAAAAATTAGTAAATATTCTTCAGACGTTCTAAAGTAAAGGTGAANCACGGTTAAACTTCATATTATTTCGGGTCCGAAAAATTAGTAAATATTCTTCAGACGTTCTAAAGTAAAGGTGAACAGCGTTTTTCTTAAAAATATCACTGTTATGTAGTAAAAATAATCCGGAAAGTTCTCGCCTTGTGACTTGTTCAATACTTCGAACGCAGCTCGAGTCCGTCCCGACCTTCTGTCAAAGCCTCGTGCTGCGGACTCTCTCGCGGACCCTCTCCCTCGCACCGTCACCTCTCATTGGCCAGTGTTTTTCGTTAATAACTCGTAAACAAAGCCCCAGATTGCATTTTCGCAAAGGAAAAAGTTACTTCAAATGACCTCAGCTACCCCTCATTTTCGGCTGTTAAAATAATTGTGGAACACCCTGTATATATGTATATATGTATAATATATAGGTATCCTAAAAATATCTCGTAATCCGAAAGTGGCGAGTTCTTCAGGTTATTTGAAGTAACTTCTTCCTTTGCAAAAATTTTCTCCGAGGCACCGTTAATCAGTTATTAACGAAAAACAGTGACCAATAAGAATCGGGTACGGCCGACGCGAGGCGGCCCAGCCAACCAAGATGTGTATAAGAGACAGTTCTTCAGGTTATTTGAAGTAACTTCTTCCTTTGCAAAAATTTTCTCCGAGGCACCGTTAACGAGATATTAACGAAAAACAGTGACCAACGAGAGGCGAGCTCAGCTGGCACGAGGCGACCGAGCTAATGAGCGGAACTGGGCTTCGCGCGCTGGTTGGCTGGGCCGCCTCGCGTCGGCCGTACCCGATTCTTATTGGTCACTGTTTTTCGTTAATAACTGATTAACGGTGCCTCGGAGAAAATTTTTGTAAAGGAAGAAGCTGCTTCAAATGATCCGAGGAACCCGCCATTTCCGGATTGCGAGACATTTTTGGGACACCCTGTATATTAATTGCAAGTATAATTTAATCGTGTACGTTATAAAGGATGAAGATATATTTGTTCAGATAGATATATTTGATACGTAATCTAATTTTCCGACGAAAATATTCTTAGAAAAACTTGCAAGCATATATCATTTAATCGTGTACGTTATAAAAGATGAAGACATATTTGTTCATTTTGCTCATTATTTAAGTCTTCGATACTAATTTTCGAACGAAAATATTCTTAGTGGCTATTGTTGGGCCTACAATAATATCAACAAACTTAATAAAATTCCCGTTTAGTTAAGGGAGAATATTATACAGAATATTCGCAGTTCATGGGATTATGTATAAGATTGCAACACCGAGGAAAACATGAATTAACCAAGAACGGAATGCAATACGGTAGTGGTATTGATTGACATACGTGCCCTCCGGATTAAATATTTACGAAACACTCGGCTCCTGATAACGTCTCTCCCCTCCCCTTCTCCCCACTGTAAACATAATAACATAGTAATACTCGATACATTCTAATTATTTCTGCTCAAGGTGGCTATTCGAATCGATTTTATCCGGCACTCGTTTTTACCGTGCATAAAATGTATTCGATGCACCGAAGAACCTGCAGACGTATTGTTTTCTCTTTCACGGTATCTTTGGATCATGAGTCAGCCGGTCGGGAACCGATTATGTACATACGTATGTAACATACTTCGTCACATTAGGATTTCTTTTTAATTAACCAGTTGTTGCATTGAATTCGCGAACGTACTTCAATTTATATGTATAGTGGATCAGAATATATTAGGTCTACCGGAAAGTTCTGTCCGTTTGAGAAATGAAAGGAAATAATAAATTTTTCATAAATTTAGTAATATTTATTGTACAATATAATTTCCGTCGTAACTTATGACCTCTTTCCAGCGTGATGGCAATTTGTTAGCAACATTTTTCAAAAATATATGTCTCAAATGAATATGTGCATATCTATTGAAATTTGCAATGACATTATCAGACAGAACTTTCTGGTAGACCTAATATTTGCGTACCCAGTTTTAATCCACGCGTCCACTCGAAGTGCAAATTTTAACTGTACATCTAAAATGATTTTTCTGACCTACGCTGTCTCTATTTTATATGACAGAGTCTTGTGATTTATACAACAGTTATACTTTTAACAATTTTTCAAATCTAAATTTCCTTGATGTAAGAATTATTTTGGAATGTGATATAAACGTTTTAACCCTTTGCATTCGAAGTGTAAATTTTAAATGTAAATCTAAAATGATTTTTCTGACTTACGCTGTCTCGATTTTATATGACAGAGCGCATTTTATGCGTGTGAAATTGAGTCTTGTGATTTCTAAAACAGTTATACTTTTAACAATTTTGCAAATCTAAATATTCTTGATGTAAGAATTATTTTGCAATGTGATATAAACATTTTTTTAGCGATGCCTCGGGGTCACCAGTCGAGCGCAAAGGGTTAATTAATTATCCAACGAAACAATGTGAATAGAAACGTTGCTAATTTAGCGTTCGAAATTAATAATAAAAATCATCCCGAAATATTTATGTATTAAGAAAATCGTATCATTA